GTCGGATTAGACATTTCCGGAGCTACCAACAGAGTGTTTATCCATCCCATAAAGCATTTTGGCTTATCACCATCTAGCCCAATTTTCGTCTTTCTAGCAGTCGACAACATTTGCGGTGCCCGTAGATTTAGGGATGACGCACTTCAGGGGAGTACAGTAGCGTTCCTGTAATGTTTGTCTCCAGCCTGTTTCGCTTCAACCAGTAACTGGCGGTTGTTTCTTTTTTGGGGCTTTACCCAGCCTTGACTAGTTTGGATATCGCTCCGGAGGAGTCAAGTGTACTTGCTTGATCCGAGTGGCACTACGCAACTGGCAGCGCTACAGTAGTGGGTGCCATTTAAATATTTAGTGAGGAGACAGTTTAGTACCATAGTTTTTAGGAGGCAAGGATACCAGTGTTATGGTCGATAACCTAGGTTTCGGGCCCAACTACTCTCCAGAAATCGGAGACTGCTTGTAAACGAAATGCGTAGGCACACTAAACAACAACTGGCATTTTTTGTGCGCTGCTGAATGGATGCGAAAGTGTACCCTGCTCGATGTGTAGTGCTTACTGGTGGCGTTATGCGTTCTGTCTACTATAAACTGATATTGGCGCATGGAATTCTGTTTTTAGATGTGATGCCATGATTTGGAAAAGATGACAGAAGAGTCAAACGCCAGTTACCACCGAGACAATTTGTGCGCGTTGCATGAAAATAAAATAAGAGGCGCAAATTCCTTGAAACACTAGAGGTGAATCTATATGCTTGCATGTTATTGCAAACACATCCGAAGAAAAACAAACTAACAGTTTTTGCAGTTCTTGAAGAACTGAGCAGCCGCGCAGTGTCTGATAAGCTCAACGGCCCAAAAAGTGCATTTGGGAAGAGTTCGTGCTTTACAAGCACCTGCTCAACCTCTATTTCGCCTAGAATGATACAAGAAAGCTAGGTGGGATTTGAGGCCTTGACCTTTTTGCTATTCTCTTACAGCCACTCTTATTAATCGTAGACCATTCTGCACGATTATATGCAAATAAAATCAAGATGTCTCTTCTTTAAAAATTTCAGTTTGGCGCAGCATTGTCAGTTTTTCCTTGCATTTTGACTGTGCGCCTGCTGCTTGACCTCAAGTCATCTGACTGCCCCTTAGAGAATTCCAAATCATCCGGTTCAAAATGAACTGCACTTGCAAAGATGTGCACTTGCAGAAACTGCAAGCTCGATGAAGTAGATTCTCTTTGATGGGTCTGATGGCTGGAGGTATATTGCGGGCTGAAGTATAAAATGCTGAAGGACCCAGCCTGATGGCCCCTCGGTAACACCATAAATTAGCCTTGCAGACTCGGTGTTAAAAAGAACGAACTGCGGGCATCAAAACGCATTGTCAGGCACCAATAATAGCTTGGGCCAAAAAGCAGCGCAGAGCCCCCAGACTCGGATGGTTGTGGGTCTTGGCCGCTTCCTTAAAAGGGATCTCTTTAAATCCTAAAATTGTGCTCCCAGTGGTGTGACTTCAGAAATGACCACTCAGGTGCTTGTACATACGTTATTGACTTGCTCACAATAGCAAGCCCGCAACAAGTGACAGCGTAACAGCCAACAAGGATAAGCAAGTTGGCGTAGAAACAGCTTTGCTCTCTTGAAACCATCCCTGGAAGGTGCTGGCGTTGACTTCTGCCTGATCTGACATGTTTGTAAATCCCAAGCTATCAGCAATGAGCACTTGTAGAGGAAAACCCTGCACTAGGAAAACGTTCCCGTCGTTATGCATGTTGCCTTCGACATTTTGGAGCTCGCGGAAGTTCCCGTCTTTTTCTTTAACCGACTTCAGAGTCTTGGGATTTAACATTTTGTAGAACCTTAGCATGGTATCTGTAGCGACGGGCAAAGGCTGGCGGGCGACATACCACCTGACGTTCTCTTCACATCCAGGCATAGTGTGGCTCCCGTCGTAAGCAAAGAACTCCTGATTTGTCAGTTGTAACATCATCATCAGGGACTGCAGGTTCAAAGGGTGAGGGAGCTCAAGTAATTGAGAATCTCCTGAAAACAGCAAAAACAGATAAAGTACAAACCGTCGAAAATGCAAATAGGAATTAGCACAGGTCGCTCTGAATGGTCGTGCAAGAGAGGAATTCCATAGCAAGAAGACAGAAACGACATATTCGCTCAATCAGAGAAAAGTTGCATACGTTTTCGAACAAGAGCTGCTTTTTTGCAACGCACCTTGAGCCTGTTTGTTTGAAATGTCTGCCATTAGTAGCGTCCTCAACAGTTTTTCAGATGGGAGTCCCCTCAGTTCTTCAAGACTGGCCTGGTCGAGTTCTTCGCTCATGAAAGTCAAAGAAATAACTCTCCAGTGCGAAGAAGGAAGAGAAGGGTCCTTGCCGCCTTTGCTGTTCTCAGCCACCACGCGCTCCACTTCGGGCAGGTTGACGCTGCTCTGGGCGAAAAGTGCGAGGTAGGGGAGAGAGGCGAGATTTACGCTCTTGCTGGCCTCCATTGACAGCAAATCATTCGAGTAATGCCATATTTGCATTTCTATCNGAGATTTACGCTCTTGCTGGCCTCCATTGACAGCAAATCATTCGAGTAATGCCATATTTGCATTTCTATCTCTCGCCTGTTTGCTTCCCCTTGAAAGGTATGCTCGCTGGGAGAATGAAACAAAATCTGATGCGCAACGAACATCTCGGTTGTATCTGAACCAAACATTGCGCCTAGGGGAACGAGACCTTCGCCGGCAGAACGTATTTGAAATACCTTGTCTGTTCTGTACAACAAAACATTGCTGAGCTGGTTAGGGTAAGTGTAAAAGAAGTCTCCCTTCTTCCAGAGCTTGCTGGGCATCGAGGCTGCTCGCTCGCCAGAGAAAGCACTCAGATACAGTTGTGTCATGTTCTTCTGTGGAGGTTCCTCTAATCCTTCAATGTGCAAATCAACGGGAGATTGGCGTGTGCCTGTCTTGCACTTTCCTTGTGTCCAGTCAGCCCCGTGTTCTTTGTAGTCCCATTCGGACTCTGCGATAACTCCCAGCTGTGGAATAGTGCCTGTTGTGGAAGACACCTGATGCTGTCTCTGCACCCACTGCTGCACTAGAGAGTGAGCAGAGAGTGTCTCTCCTCTCAAGTTTGAAGTCTCGCTGCGGCTGGCGTTCGCTCGCCGGGCAGCTTCGTTAGCACCCAAAGCCGAAAGATATTCAGGAGACAGAAGAGAGCTTGTTTGATTGTTCCATTTGCCTGCATATGCCCCAATAAGCAAAATGGAATAAGTAAAGATGAACGTAAGTGGAAACAGCGTCATTTTCAACGCCGTTTCGTCCTCTGCTTGGCCTCGACGCTAACGCTGGGCCCGTCTCTTCCGACTCACGCCGATGCTAAATATACGAAAAGCGAGAATATGAAAGCAAACATGCACTGAAAAATACATATACAGTTATTCTAATTCTGTTTCACTGGCTACCTGTCTTTTGCTTGTTCAATGGCGCTGCCGACAACAGACCAGTCAAGGCGCCGTAGCCCGTAGTGCTGCGCACTGCCCTCTGCACGCTAGCACAGCTTGCGNCAACAGACCAGTCAAGGCGCCGTAGCCCGTAGTGCTGCGCACTGCCCTCTGCACGCTAGCACAGCTTGCGCGCACTGAATGAGTTCGAGACTTGCCTTTCACAGCAGCAACATTTTTGTATTGTTTTATCAATTTCACCAGATATATACATGGAGATGGGACCTTCCAAATCAAATTGCTTAGCGTGCAACCCGCAACACGCCCAATGGACCAGCAAGGCCTCGCCACTGGAAACAGGGCAATCCTTACCCGCTACTATCTGTAATCCGATTCTGCTTCCTCCAATTATATAGCAATTCCACGGAATGTCATCTCCTTTTCCAATTTAAAAGCTTAGATGCGTAAGTCGTTGCTGGCCTTTCTATTCAAACCCCGTCACTATCTACTGTCTCGTGTTAGCTTGCTAAGGCGCTGCAGCCGGCATGTGGAGCATAATCTGTCTTCTTTAGCGAATATTGAATTCACATGCATCTATAGTCACTGTACCGGTGGATACTTGTATTTGTTGGAAACAGTAATGTGTAGTGTGTCCATTGGACCGCCCAGTCTACTAGCATCTACCCTTTCGTGCCACTGCAAGCCCTGACCCTCTAGATGGGCAATACATAGGTGGATCGCTTGCTCATATACAACTTTGCCGGCACCAGATTTCAGCCTACCCTGGATTCGGTGGACGAAGTTTTTTTTTAGGAGCAGGGCCTGTTACCGGGTTGGCTATACTTTGAATTGAGCTAGCGTTGAGCGCTCCCGTCCCACTGCCCAGCATAATCTCATATCTTAGGTTGACTTAGAGCATGCCTTGTTCATGCGTCACGGCATCATGCGACCACTTTACTTTGCGCCCCATCATGAGCCATCTGCGCCTCTCGAAGACCTTATTCTTCTGTTCCTCTTCTAAGATATGCGTTGGAACAGTACGTCAGCAGGTGCTGCGGTGCAGATGCTCAAACTACTCCAAAACGTCCCTACGTCTCCTACCTCAATAAAGAATAGGCGACCCACGGCGGAAGCATCGTATCCGCTGTGTTCTGCATTCTAACTGCTGTTCAGACAGCAAGCAATCAAAATCCACCAAAAGCAGCCGCTCACCCATGAAAATCAGTCCCCACAATCTATGTAATGCAATGCAGCCTCATAAAGAGGCAAATGCGTCACTGTTCGAAAATTAAATAGCGAGCTCTGTAATTTGGGCTCGTACACTATCAACCGACCCCTTCCAGCCCTCTTTGGAGTCGGCAAGAGACGCAATTCAAACATTCCGTCGCGCCCTTTTTTATGCGTCAAGCAACGTGCTCAACGCTCTAGGAGAGCTCTAGTGGCAACGAGACTCTACCGGGGATTGCCCCCGATCCTTTACAGCTGTTGCCAACAGAGAGAATGAGATATATGTCGCTCTGCTTGTCATAACAAATGGACGCCAAGAAAAACCCATAGTACTTACTACGGNAATGAGATATATGTCGCTCTGCTTGTCATAACAAATGGACGCCAAGAAAAACCCATAGTACTTACTACGGCAGATGTCCAGGACACACAAAACGCAGGGACGCATCTGTAAGACGTACGGATGCTCCCCGTGGCCGTTAGCCCGACAGCAAAATATATATGCTGCAAGCAACGTCTCAGAGCCCGAAGCTGCGCGATTTTCCCCGGTGCCATGATCGAAAAACAGGCTCACACACACGTGGATATACTGCACTGCCTCTATGTTCAATTCGAGAAAACAAAGTAAAGAGTCTGCAAAAACCCCAAGTCGCAATGCTGTCACCGCACACTGGTCATGGAATGTTTAAACATATGGTATCTAGGTGTTCGTGGGGTCGTTTTCGCTGTTTGCACATTCGACACAAAAACAGGGAGCTGATACCACCGATACCCTGCTGCTATTCCTCATCAGAGTCCGAGTCCACTACGCAGCCTTTCTTGTTGGTCTCGCGGACAAGTTGATTAACTTGGCGGTTGGCCCTCCTAAGTTCTGGTGAAAGCATTTTGACTAGAGGAGTTGTTGTGATAGCTTTCCGACCATCTAGCTTGCTCCCAGGTCCTGTCTCGATGAGCATTTCAATCAGTTCGTGGGGCGGCACAGTCTGGAAATCTCCATCGTCGTAGTCTATTCTGAATTGATTCGTGTAATACGTGATTTTTTTCTCCTTTTCGTCCACTTTGCTGTACTCGCCACTTCTTTCCAAATCAACATCCGTGACCTTACTTGAAATCGCCTGGTAGTTACTCACGACCCCATAATACCACTTCTTCTTCGA